TCTTTTGTCCAGTGCTTGCACGCTCAGTCAGATACATGCGGCTTGTGAGAAATGTCAGCACTGCAAAACACCAGTTAACGCGTCCCGCCGAATTACTTTAATCACTTTGCATTTTGTCAGAATCGTTCTTCCGTGTTGGCTTAGATCTACTTGGCCCTTATACCTTGTACAGTCGAATCTCGATAATTCGAACTCGAAGGGACCCGAAAATTTGTCCGAATTAAAATAAGTTCGAATTAATGAAAATTAAATAAACAGAGGGCTCTCAATGCAGTGGCGCATGTGTATTGAGCTGACACACGAGGGAAAAGGTTCAGGAGACTTACATTTATTCACAAATAACAAGACATGCGCGTCTGGACATGTTTGCCTTGCAGCGAGTCAATCAATTTCGCACGCAGATTGCAAAGCATTTCTACTTCGGCTTCAACATTCTCCTGGCAAAAGAAGTTGCGCGCGGAAATGTCCAGCACCGACACCCTCTAAAGACGACGACAACAATGACTGCGTAGCGGACCCGTAGCATGGACAGCACGTGACGAGAAAGGAGAAGCGTTTTCACGTGGAGAGAAGCAGATCGGCATTCGAGACATGGAGAAAGGAAAAAACTCTTTGCTTCCTCCGTGATTTGAGGGAAAACCAACACTGCACGTCAGATTTTTTCTTTCTTTGCTCTCTTCACGTGCGTCGTTGAAAGGAGAGGGATTATTACGTGGCAGGGACGGGAAGGGGGAAGAATGGCACCGGCGCGTGAGAGACCCCCCCCCCTTCCTCAAAGGCGCAGAGCCGTGCTCCCGCAAGGCGCAAGGGCTGGAGAAGATGGTGCATTTTTCCTTTCCTTCAACCACATAACCAACCTCGCGACAGCTTTTTTTTTTTTTCCTCTCTTTGCCCACGGCGTCGGAAGGAGAAGGGTTTTTATCTGACAACGGCACGTGGCGGGGGGCGGAAAAGGCAGAAGCGTGACACAGGCACGCCGAACTTCGGCATTTGAGAGAGAGCAAACATTCCACCGCAGCCTTTTCTTTCCTTTTCTTTTCCTTCACGCGCAGTATTGAGGTGTCGTAGGTGCTGTCGCGGGATTGAGCGGGGTACTGAGAGCATTTTCGGAGCACGGTATGTTCCAATTAACCGTCGCATGTTCTTGTGCATTCGAATCACCGGATGTTTTCGCCCATTGGAATACACATATATTTGACGGGACCTCATCGTCAGTTCGAATTAACCGGAAGTTCAAATGAATGAGATTCGACTGTATTCCTCTGGCAATAGGTGGATAGCTGTAGCCACAGGCTACGCCACATGCTAAGCGATCACACGAGCTCTTCTGACAAGCTTTGCCCCAGACGTTGCTGATTTCTTCCTAGATTTGCAACATGGAACTTCACACCAGCTAATTATAGACCGTGGCTGTACCTTTCTACCAAAGGTCATAGCCCACATCCTGCAGTTATGTGAAATAAGGCACAAGCTCACTATGTAATGCCATCTGCAGACAAATGTACTCACAAGCGTCTGAATCGAATACTTTTCAACATGCTTGTGAAGTATGTTTCATCAAACTGCTCTGACAGGGACTTTGCTTTACTGTTTGCTACACTGGATGTAGGGCTTACGCACCTACATCTAGCTATGATGACGCTTCAGTCGAAAGCTTCTATGAAGACGTGGAATCGGCAATGAGTAAGGTAAAAACGCAGTATACTATACTGATGGGAGACTTTAATGCAAAGGTAGGGAAGAAGCAGGCTGGAGGCCAGGCAGTAAACGCCAGAGGAGAGCTACTAGTAAAATTCACAGAATGCAATAATTTACGGATTTTGAATACCTTCTACCGAAAACGAGGAAACCGCAAGTGGACATGGAGGAGCCCTAATGGCGAAAATAAGAACGAAATAGACTTTATAATGAGTGCACACCCAGGCATCGTGCAGGATGTGGAAGTGGTTGGCAAGGTACGATGCAGTGACCATAGAATGGTACAATCTCGAATTCGCCTAGACTTGAAGAAGGAACGACAGAAACTGATACGCAAGAAGCCAATCAATGAGCTAGCACTGAGAGGGAAAGTACAGGAATTCAGAGTGTCGCCGCAGAACAGGTACTCGGCTCTTAGTGAGGAAACCAACCTTAGCGTAGATACAATGAATGATAATCTGACGAGTATCATTACGGAGTGTGCAGTGGAAGTTGGAGGCAGGGTAGCTAGACAGGACACTGGCAAGCTTTTTCAAGAAATGAAGAACCTAATTAAGAAGTGTCAAATCATGAAAGTGTCAAGTACAACAGACAAAATAGAACTGGCTGAGCTTTCAAAGTTGATTAATAGACGTAAGGTATGCGATGTAAGAAGGTATAACATGGAGAGAATTGAACACGCTCTGAAAAACGGAGGAAGCGTCAAAGCAGTGAAGAGAAAACTTGGGATAGGCAAAAGTCGGATGTATGCACTAAGGGACAAAGAAGGCAAAGTAACTACCAATATGGATAGGATAGTTAAAATAGCGGTGGAGTTTTACAGAGATCTGTACAGTAGCCGAGACAACCACGACCTTAATGTTATAAGAACTAGCAGTAACCCAGATGACACCCCACCAGTAATGATAGAAGAAGTCAGAAAAGCTTTGGAGAGCATACAAAGAGGCAAAGCTGCTGGTGAGGATCAGGTAACATCATATCTGCTGAAAGATGGAGGACAGATTGTGTTAGAAAAACTAGCCACTCTGTTTACGAGGTGCCTCCTGACGGGAAGAGTACCAGACTCCTGGAAGAACGCTAACATCATCTTAATACATAAGAAAGGAGATGACAAGGGCTTGAAGAATTACAGGCCGATCAGCTTGCTCTCTGTAGTGTACAAGCTATTTACAAAGGTAATTGCTAACAGAGTAAAGAAAACATTAGAATTCAATCAACCAAAGGAACAAGCAGGATTTCGATCATTCTACTCAACAATTGACCACATTCATACTATCAATCAGGTAATAGAGAAGTGCTCAGAGTATAACCAACCACTATACATAGCCTTCATAGATTACGAGAAGGCGTTTGATTCAGTAGAAATATCATCCGTCATGCAGACACTGCGGAATCAGGGCGTAGATGAAGTATATGTAAACATTCTGGAAGAAATCTACAGTGGATCGAGTGCTACCATAGTGCTTCATAAAGAAAGCAACAGAATACCAATCAAGAAGGGTGTAAGGCAGGGGGACACAATCTCCCCAATGCTATTTACCGCGTGCTTACAGGAGGTTTTCAGAAGCCTAGAATGGGAACAGTTAGGGATAAGAGTTAATGGAGAGTACCTTAGTAACCTGCGCTTCGCCGATGACATTGCATTGCTGAGTAACTCAGGGGACGAATTGCAACTCATGATTACGGATATGGACAAGGAGAGCAGAAAGGTGGGTCTTAAAATTAATCTGCAGAAAACGAAAGTAATGTACAACAACCTCGGAAAGGAGCAGCGCTTCGAGATAGGTAATAGTGCACTTCAAGTTGTAAAAGACTATGTCTACTTAGGGCAGGTAATAACCGCAGAGCCGAACCACGAGATTGAAGTAACTAGAAGAATAAGAATAAGGTGGAGCACATTCGGCAAGCACTCTCATATTATGGCAGGTAGATTGCCACTATCCCTCAAAAGGAAGGTATATAACAGCTGTATCTTGCCGGTACTTAGCTACGGAGCAGAAACCTGGAGACTTGCAAAGAGGGTTCAGCTTAAATTGAGGACGACGCAGCGAGCAATGGAAAGAAAAATGGTAGGTGTAACCTTAAGAGACAAGATGAGAGCAGAGGGGACAAACGGGGGTTAATGATATCATAGCTGAAATAAAGAAAAGGAAATGGACATGGGCCGGGCATGTAGCGCGTTCACAGGATAACCGCTTGTCATTAAGGGTAACTAACTGGATTCCCAGAGAAGGCAAGCAAGTTAGGGGGAGATAGAAGGTTAGATAGGCAGATGAGATTAAGAAGTTTGCGGGTATAAATTGGCAGCAGCAAGCACAGGACCGGGTTAACTGGCGAAACATGGGAGAGGCCTTTGTCCTGCAGTGGACGTAGTCAGGCTGATGATGATGATGATGATGATGATGATGATGAAAGAAGAAGGATGTAGCGAAAAAGTTATAATAGCTGAGGCAGGTTCAAATCTTGTATCACTGCCTGATAAATTATTACAGCAGAAGCTGTAGCATGTATCGGAAAGTTGCGAGACTTCGTGTCAGAACAACAAGCTATGACAGAAGCAGTGCCCAGAAACGTACACTCTTTGGACAAATTTGTCTCTTCTTGCACATTAAGGGAGCTAATTGAAAGGAAAATTACACAATTATTTTAAAGTTAAATTGCGTTTCACACGTTTGACTTGATTTCTGCTGTGCCCGATGCTATTCCCCGTTTTAGCGAACATTCAGTTTAGTGAACTTTGAGTTGAGTGAACTGTTTTCTTGGGTGTCTTAAAGTTAGTTGTAGTAGCAGCATTAAACTTAGTTTACAGTGATCATGTTTAGTGGAGAAGACTGATTCTCATTGTCGTCTACTCGCTAGTAAACTCTTCAGTCTAGGATCCTAGCTGCAATCACTGCCCACCTCGCTTCCCCAGCAGTGCCTGGCCTTGTAAGTTTGAGCTGTGCAATACGGATTCCCACTAATGGATCAGGAAGTGGTTGGAGTTTTGGTGTACTGTGGAATAAGGGAAGACAAGTTTCAATGTACAATATGTATGTATTGTAAATAGGTGTTGTTCAAACAGCACATTAGCAGTCAACTCTTATTTTACATGTTGATTTGTTCACTGCAAAAAAAAGTATGCTTTCATATCAATTGTTCATGTTCTTTGTGCCACCCATGGATTTTAAGGGGTGTTTAATATTTTTTATTCGGGCAGTGCTATTTTAAATTTTCTTTATTGATCAGAAATAGAATTGATGGTTCTGGTGCATATAGCTTTCATATAAACTGACCACCGTATGTCCTTGTCAACCATTTAGCGACACAGGAGCTGAGCCAGTTGCTTGGCTTGCTGGCTGACTTGCTGTGCACTCTGCTGACTGGCGGCGATGACGAACTGGCATCACGGGCAGGTGTAGCACTTTGCAATGCTCTTCGAATTCCGGACTTCTTGACAGAGTCACAGCTGAACATCATAAAGGACCTAATAATTCATGTGGCAACACATGAGAACGCTCCTGCACTACGGTAAGTAGCTGTAGAGCATTTTCAAAGGGCCATTAAAGAACCTTAAAATCAAGGATTTGTAATGGGATAATTGTGCACTTGTGCGACGTGAACATGCTTTAGCATAAGTTTTGTGGCTTAGCACTGTTGCGACTTAGCGCTGTAATTAGGAAGTTATAGGAGATTGAACAATACTGTGGTGGCCACTTTAGCTGGTTCTTTTCCAGCCTCCCTACCCTCCTCTGCCTAAGGGATGGGTATGAGCAGCCTATTATCGGCTTGCAGCCATATAGTTCTTTGCAAGGCTTCTTCCATGTGCTGCTCCAATCAGTTACTCACAAGTGGTGCAGCAATGAAGCGAGGCCCCAACCACTGACAAAATAAACAAATATGCAATGTGCACGACAACTGCATGGCCAAAACTGCATCAGCACAAAGCCAAAGTGCAGTTTTGTAGTACCAGTTGGTGAGCTCATTGCTAAATAATGTTCTTTATGAATAATGCCACATGACTGTGTAAATAACAGACTTGTTAGGTGCCAGAGATGGTCGTGTGGATTGTTTTTTGGCATAGAGCTTCTGCATGCCGTGCAGCAATACGATATTCACAATATTCGATTGCCATGGACTTGTTCACTAATGAGCAAGATTGTTTTAAAGGTGTAACAAAAATGGCATGCTTATTCTTCAACATATCTGTACTGCCTAGGTTTGGAATATGTGTAGCAAAATGCATTGATGCTCCAGTTACAATTTGAACATTATTTAATGACGTGATGACCATGCTAGAATTACTTTGTTAAATCGGGAACTGCTGGAGCAAATCATTGTGTATAAGGAAAAAAAAACCCTCAAGGAAAGCCCTGTCGCTTAGCTCACTTCAACAATGAGCATGTTGCAACACAGGCGGACAATGCTTGCTGTCTGCAGGACGTTCTGTGACGTAAGCTGGACATGTCCAATCAAATCAGTCACTGGTGCTATGTGTCTTATAACAATTCTACGTGTCATAGGTGCATGAAGTTGAAAACTTATTCAGCTGAGCCGCCGCGGTCTGTAGTAATTCACATTTAACGTCTTGTGATAAATTACACACTTGATGCAGAGAGCTTAAACTGGCCTTCAAATATTTCTTAGGAGTTGTGCTATGTTTATACAATATTATCAAGATTGTTTCAGAGTCCCCTTTAAATCGGCCATGACACGGCTGTAAAAACTCCAATGATTCAGATTTTACGAGACCGGAGAGTATGTTCGAACTACTGCGAAGACGACCATAACAACTGAAACATGCCTTTTTCATCACCAAACTTTTATTTCATCAAGAGGCCTATTGTTCCTGTTTTGTTCTGAGAAGTAATGTGCAACAAAAGCGCTCTCTTGCGAAGTTCCTGCAAGAAGCCAAGCTCATGCACACTATTGGGGGAAGCATGCAAGGTCTCTCCAGAAGACGATGTACATGAATGCAGCCTCTTCAATGCGCATTGTGCAGGTTTATTAAATGTATTTAGATTTTCATCAGAATTGGAGCCTTCAGTATTCAAAATCACAGTGATTTGTAAGCGAACCTGCATCATGGTAAAAAAAAAAAAAGTGATGGCACATCTTGAGATAGGGCAGCTATTCTCAATGCAATCACCCTGTGGACATGTCCGCTTTGGAAGAGTGTGTTCACTTGCTCAAAAAATGTGAGCGGTGACATGAGGGAACTTTCGACTATGTTGATGCATGTAACTCAACCAAAAGTGGACAGAATGTACAGTGACAGAACACTTATCAAACTTGACAAGTGGAATTCGCAAAGGAACGATTTCAGTTGTTTGTAAGGGTGTCCGACTATTCGAAATTTTATATATTTTTCTATTCAAACATCCCAAAGACAAATACAGTCAAAGTCTGATTGGCAGTAATCCCTTTATATTTTTAATATGCTTCTCCTGATGACACTGTTCTATTGCAGAAAAGTTGCCTTCCAGGCTCTGCTATGGTCCTAAATGTAGTGACTCAAAAAAACGCTCGTTCCAACACAGAGATGATGGATGTGAAAGATGTGGGGCCCAATCAATGCTGTTTTGGACCCACGATTCTGGCAGGAAAAAAAAATCTGATGCTGAAGATTTTTTAGCATCTTAATTTTCAGATGTTCATATTATTGATGCCTGCGGGGCAGATTTAAAACTTCGTACTCGTAGGTTGCATGCCCTTGTCTGACACATCAGTTGGGCTTTCACAGAATTGAAAGAGAAGGAGATGCCGGAGAAACAGCGTCTTGTGTTTCACATGTAAAGTGTTATCGGCAACACTTTGGTTGTAAATACAATTTGGCCTCTGCATCGCCTCGTTAAGACAACTATGAAAAACGGCCGTGCCAGTGCATCGTCAACCTAGCTTAAAGCAACACTTTCATGTTGCTGTTTCACAAGGATATGCTTGGCTATATTCAACTTTTTTATGCAGTTGCGCTTCGAAGTATTGAAAAAAAAATTCAGTGAGATTCGTACTCGCACTTCAATATTTTAATTCACTTCGCACTCACATTGTGCTAGTCGTACAGCTCTAGTTGTTCGAGATCTATGGAAAAATGCGTACTGATCTTCCAGGTGTGATAGTCAGGTGTCTGCATTACACTTAATCTGAAGGCTAATGTGATCAGAGTTTATGCACAGCGTCCGAGATGTGTGTCCAAAAGCGTATCTTTGAGGGCTGCATCTGTTGCAGTGAAGTGCATTTTGTCCCTTTCATTTGTACCGAGAGTTGTCAAAGCTTCTTGACACCGAAATAACACTGCGAAAAAAAGCCAGAAGCAGGGCACACACTGTTCACCAAGCTCCAGCCAATCAATGGCAGCCGAAGTCCACAAGTTTGGCTGTTGGGGATAGCTCCCAACAAAGACCAATTCGAATGCAGTGTGAAAATGGTGCAAATGAACAGGATCAAAAAAAAAATATAAAATAAAGGCATTCATACATTGTTTTGACTGATGGCTATAGTGATGCACGAGATGCGTTTTATTGTAGTTGTGACCATCGTCACTCGTGTATTCGGTGCCTCTGACATTCAGATGAGCAGTTAGCTTGTCTAAATTTCCAACGCCATGATCTGTACTCTCAGCTCAAGTGTGCCTTTGATTTAGGCTGCGAGTCCACGTTTACGCAAGCATGGCCATGGCTGAACCGACTGCTGTTTCCCATTGCGACCAGGGAAGAGTTTGACTGAACGGAAGTGCAGCCGAATTTGTGTGAAATAGAGAGATTTCGGGCCTAAAAAGATAGATACTTTGGTTGTGACCAGATGTGTTCGAATGATTCAGGATTGCAAATTAATTAGGGTTATTTAATGAAGTTTTATTATAAACCTAATTACACATATCATGTTAAACTGTATGCATCTAACAGCTGGTTGGCAAAATTAGAGCACACTGGTGTGTGATGTCACACCCACAGCAATGTCTCTCTTGAAGTAATGGAAGCTAATCTCTAATTAAGGTCATGCTTTTGAGTGCTGAAAGCAAAATAGGTAATTGCAGGAGTCAGAAATGTGTCATGGGCATTATTTTTTTAACAAGTGTGTTTGGTAGTGAATTTGAGACAGCAGTTTCTGCAGGTGTTATCTTGTTTGTGCTCATTGTGCAAGTCGAAGAAATGTGAGTACCACAATTCAGTGGTGACTTTGCTGCACTGTTGTTTGCCTGAGCAGATGAAGCGATGTATTTGATGATGTTTCAGAATATTGCGAAGCAAACAATGTAGATGGCACCACGCTTCCTGGCATGGCAGTGCATGTCGAAATGGCAGTCACTGGCTGCAAGAGGGGCTTGGAGGTGGCAATTTCAAATAGAAACTTCAAGTTAAAATGGTCCAGCTTTTTGTGTGCAGGACCATATTGGTTCCTCTGCTGTCAATGACAAACTGAGGATACTTGAATGACCTTGTCTGAGAATTTTAGAGAGCTGTGAAAGTAAATGAAGTATGCTAGGAAATCGGAATGCTTTGCAACTGGTTAAGGTCAATATTGCAGTTGGTATGCGCTTTCTGTATACATAGCAGATTCTTTAACAATGCAAATAGAGAAACTACAAGAACAATTGCAGAGTACTGATTGACAATCAAACTATATTTTATGAAGCAGCATGTTGGTGTGCACAACAAAAGAAAAAGATGAGCAAGAATTGGTATACAGTGACTTGATTGATTTCTTTTAGAAGCAAGTGATGGTTGTGGTGAACTGAGTCATCTTTCTCCATCCTCCAAAACGCAGCTAAATTGAAACATCATTGTGGTACTTTCTGATTATCTAATTTTCCAAGGTGACCTTTCGCATTGCATGGTGAGCTGAGTCTAAGGGAGTTGCTTTATTAAAAAGCTTGTTACCTATAAGAGCTATTGATACATCTTTCAGTTTGCACATGAGCAGAATGTCATTTATAAAATTTGTGCAAAATTCAACAAAATGTTGAGCATGTTTATTTGAACAAGGCTATATTTAAAAAATATTCTTTTGTTGCTATTTTCCTGATTGATTTTTCGTGTGGATTTTCTGGTTCCTTCATCGTGAAAAGCTGCCATAGTACTGGTTTTTCTTCTTACAACCTTCTATTCGTGCTTTCGTGTATAAAATTATTCGTGTAGCTAGCATCTCGCAACCTGTTAATTTGTGCCGAAAGTATTGTTTAACGAGTACTCACACGAGTACATTCATGCACTTGGCCTGTCTGCTTAAAAATAGCAGAAGCGAATGTCTACCACTGTGAATGATTGGTTTCTAGAGCTAAAATATGTTTATAACTGGTGTCTCAGGCACTTATTAATCTATAAAAGTCCTTGACACATCAAGTGTGTGTATGCACTCTTGTTGCCTATCATAATGAAGTAAGTGGTGAAAGCTTTATGTCTGCGGTAGTGTTCTTAATATGCAGGGCTTGTGCTGTGACTGAATATGAGCTATGATGCATATTGTATGTTTTGTGCTATACATATACCATGCCAAATATGCTCACATACCTCGCAAAAAAATGAAAAAGTATTTTAATATGTCCAAATCTCGTGTGTGAAATAATTAGACTTGTGGGAATAGTTCACTTTAGGTTCAAAGCGAATTCGAAGCGAATATTGATTTTGGTCTAATAATTTTGAATCGAATTCGTACAGTGTGTATCACACGTATAGAAAAATGGGCACATTTATTGTGACCTAACTAACGTTCACAATATATTTTTTTAATTTAAGTTAAGGCCTCTCTGCAAATGCTATTTTTCTTTGTTTAAAGGAAGTCAAAACAACGTTTAGTGGTAGCAGGATCTTACTTTCGATAGAGTGAAAGTGATAACATGTAAAATATGTTACATTAAAAGTTTACTATACCTAGAGCATACAAGCTGGTGCAACAAGCTTTTGAACTTGAAAAGAAAAATAATGGATTGATGCAAGGGTATTATGTTTACTTAAAGGGAGCCTGCAACACTTTTTCAAGTAGCCATGGACTGGATTCACTAAAGGAGCTTATTGCTTCATGAATTCATCGCCGCAAAGATTTTTAGAATCTGCCTGGTATAAGTGGAGTTACAAAGTATTGCCGCATGCTGCGATTGCATTCTCCCCTTTCTCATCCCGACAAAAACACCAGAAGCTAAGCAGGGAGGGAGGGCACGGGGGATGAAAATACGTCACGTGTGCCTTGTGACCTTGAGCTACATGTTTTCTCTCTTTTTTTTTCCTTCGAATACGTGGCTTTTCAGTGCGATTGCATACGCAGGTGTGGACAAGTCGCAGCCTCAGTAATGACCAACGTGCCATGCTCAAGTTAGCCAAGAGCTGATACAATGGCTGTGATGAGTAATATCTGAGCTTGTAGCGCAATTAGTCGAGAGAAGGAAAAAAAATTTTCAGCTGACTTTGAACATTTATGGAGAATTTCCGGCTGCGTGCTGCGTAATAATATTTGGCTCAAGTGTTCTTGGGAGTCTCGCCTACCGATGGACCGCGTTTCCCGACCATGTTCAAAAAGTGTTGCAGGGCCCCTTAAACTTTAAAGAAAGGCTTTGCAGTTCCCTGGATAGGTGCTTTCATGGCTTAGCACCGCTATGCTGCATTGAAACCACATTTATAGAAGGCTGCTTGTGGATTAATGTACAACTACTCGTTCATTGCGAATACTTTGAAATTTTCAATAGTTTAAATGAGAGTTGAAGCAAATTCGAATATAGCACTATTTGTTCGAATATTCAAAGCATTTGAATATTAGGACAAGCCTAGAAATAATTGCACATATTCATTTATGAAACTGTTTCTACATTTCGTTTGTGCTTTGAGTGGCCACTTACTGGCTTGTTGTCTTTTCAGGAACGACCACGTTATGCTGCTGGCTGCGGCTGCCTGCACAGCTCGTCTACCGGACATCGTGTGGTGCATCATAAGAGAGGAAATTGACAGAGGTATTTAAAATTTTATCAATGTTCGCTAACTTTTGAAGCTCAGTTTTTCACTGCCACATTTTTTTTTGTTTAGGTTTGAACAGTGGCCAGCTGGAACGAATCTTGGAAATGATCACTGCATGTGCAGCAAGCCCACAGTCTCTGTCTATGCTGCTACCTTACCTTGAAGACCGTTTTCTGTCTTCTATTCGTGGTGAGCACCTATCACTAAAAAAGTGATGTTTTCTGTACAGTCAAACCTCAATATATCGAACACGGATATATCGAATTATTGCCTATGTCGAACGGTTGCTATATCATGCTGGAAATCGCATGCATTATTGATTTTTTATTTCGAACAAAGTTTGACATATAATAGATATACCGAACTCAGCCACCCCACACCGCCCGCACACCATTGACAGGCGGCGAGCTTTCCCGCAACTCTCGAAAGTAGCGGCAGAGCAGCGGGCGTTTACGAATGCTGCACACATCGATGGCGCCGAGAGCGCCACTTTAACGTAGCGGCGTACGCACGCCGCAGCCTTGCGGTAGAGGTTCTTGAATGAGGAAAGTGAAGAGAAAAGCGCGGAGCTGTTATTGTCTTTCAATACGAAAGCACCGACACGGCTTCGCGCTGGGGAAGAGGGAGTGGGAGGTAAAGGTTGAGGAGGAAAGTATAGGAGGGAAAGGATGCAGACGACTGTCTCGGACGCGGCCCGCGCTGCCGCTGGAAAAGGAAAAGCAGTCAGGCGAGCCGGCATGGGCGCGCCATGTGCGCGCTTTACACCCGGACTCACGCCGCAGCCTTGCAGCTTGCAGTCGTTGTAGTCTCTAAGGTGTCAACGGCCCACTGCGCACTTGTTGCAAGCTCCTCCCCCGTAGCATCGGCAGGCATCGGTCGTTGTGCTCGCAGTGTTCGTACGTTCGGAGTTAGGCCTGTCGCGCACTGTTCGGAGTTGTGGTCTGTCGCGCGCTGTGGTGCGCGACAGGCCTAACTCCGAACGGCGGAGCTCACGGATGTGGAGATTGTCGCCGAAGCTACTGCTGAGCAGCCAAATGAAGACTGCCGAGGTGGATCCCGCAAGCGCTGATGGTGCCCCGCTCCCGACATCAGCTGAGTTCGTAGCTGCCTTGGCCCTTGTGCACCGCCACTGAGGCGCGATTGAAGACACCGGCCTATCACTTATGGAACGCCTGGACTGTATTGAGGACGCAGTCGTCAAACACGCCATGGCCAACAAAAAGCAGGCTACTCTTTTTCAATATTTTAAACCAACACAGTAAATACTATGTTTGAATCTTCAAGTGAGTATTTACTGCACCACGCTTGAACGATTCGTTGGTCGTTCTCAGCAAGCCGTTGACGAATTTTTTTGTGATTTTTTTATATCGAATTCGGGATATATCGAACTATTTCGCGATCGTCGCGCCGTTCGATATATCGAGGTTGGACTGTATAATTATCATCATCATCAGCCTGACTACGTCCACTGCAGGACAAAGGCCTCTCCCATGTTCCACCAGTTAACTGGGTCCTGCGCTTGCTGCTACCAAATTATACCCGTAAACTTCTTAATCTCATCTGCCCACCGAACCTTCTGTCTCCTCTTAACCCACTTGCCTTCTCTGGGAATCCAGTTAGTTACCCTTAATGACCAGTGGTTATACTGTCTATGCGCTACATGCCTGGCCCATGTCCATTTCCTCTTCTTGATTTCAACTATGATATCCTTAACCCCCGTTTGTCCCCTAATCCACTCTGCTCTCTTCTTGTTTAGTAAAGTTACACCTACCATTTTTCTTTCCATTGCTCGCTGCGTTGTCCTCAATTTAAGCTGAACCCTCTTTGTAAGTCTCCAGGTTTCTGCTCCGTAGCTAAGTACCGGCAAGATACAGCTGTTATATACCTTCCTTGTGAGGGATAGTGGCAATCTACTTATCATAATTTGAGAGTGCTTGCCAAATGTGCTCCACCCCATTCTTGTTCTTCTAGTTCTTTATTGTAGGAGACCACTTATTATGCGATTGTCTAAGTAGATGCACATTACATGATAGGGTCAAAGAAAACATAGCATGAACACTATTACAGATCATTATTTCTGTTTTTGTGCATTTTGTCCTTGCACCGCAATGATCTTAACATTTGTTTCAAAGAATAAGAGTGCGAAAATCTATAAATCTGAAAGGATGCCCGAAAAATGTGTATGTTTTGTTGTGGGTTCGGTTTTTACCATAATCATTTCGCACTCTTTATGTACCATTCAATATTGCATACTTCAGCCCATCCATTTTTCTGTTAATGCTTGCTGTTGTAGGTATGACTGGCAGCATAAGCAAATGCTCTTATGGAAGTGTTTAGAAGTGCATTGCTGGATTTTGATCCATATATACTTGAACAATTAGTAAATCATGCTGCTCTTGATACACTGTAAATGCTATAAGAAGAAATCCGTGGCTGTTGCAGCCACTGAATGCTACAGTCGAATCTGATTAATTCGAACACATTAATTCTAACTTCCGGTTAATTCGAATTCACGCTGAGGTCCCGTCAAGGCGATGTGTATTCCAATGGGTGAAAGCGCTCTGTAATTCGAACGTGCAAGCACTTGCAATGATTTATTTAAACATACCACGCTTCGAAAATGCTCTCATCATCACACCCGATCCCGCGGCGGCACGTCCGCCACCTCAACGCTGTGTGCAAAGGAGGAAAAGAAGAAAAGGAAAGAAAAGGCTGTGGTGGAATGTTTGCTCTCTCAGACACCGATCTGCGACGCACCTGCGCCACGCTTTTCCCTTTTTCGTCTCTGCTACGTAGAGACCTTTCAATGCCGCGCATGAAGAGAGAGAGGGAAAAAATAAAAAAGCTGTCGCAGAGTGTTGGCTCTCTCTCTAATGCCGATCTGCAACACGCCAGTGCCACACTTCCCCCTTTCCCGTCCCTGCCTCGTAGAGACCCTTGTCCTTTCAATGCCACGCGTAAAGAGAGCAAAAAAAAAAAAGAAATAAGCTGCCACGGAGTGTTTCTTCGCTCACAAATGCCAATCTGCTCCTCTCTGTGTGGAGACGCTCCTCTTTTTTTGTCATGTGCTGGCCACACTGTGGCTGCAACGCAGAGGGTAGCAGCGGAGACGCAGTCGTTGCCGTCGTCGTCTTTAGAGAGTGTTAGCGCTAGACATTGCCGCGCCACTTCTCTTGCCAACAGAATACTGAAGCCGAAGTAGAAATGCTTTGAAAACTGCGTGCGAAATCGATTGACTCGCTGCAAGGCAAACATGTGTAGACGTGCTTCACTGATTACTTCAATTAATGACTGATGTCCTGTGATTTGTGAATAAATAGATGTCTAAAACTTCCCCCTCGTGTGTTAGCTCAATGCACATGCACCACTGCATGGTGAGCCCTCTACTCATTTAGCTTTCATTAATTCAAATTTATTTGAATCCAAATAAATTGTCTGGCCCCTTCGAGTTCGAATTATCAAGATGCGACTGTATTTGAAAATTTTTCATACGTTTACTTGAGATATACAAGTCTGCTTAATGCCAGGTTTTCGAGCAGCTTCCACACACTCACTATAGTTTTTTTTTGTGTATGTCATGTACCAACATATAAAGAATGTAACAGTTCTTCAAAACATGTACATTGAAGATCACACATTTCTTCCTGTAGGTTTTTCTCTTGAAGCGGCCCTGCAATACTTTTCCAGCTTGCTCATAAAACGTGGCCGATTGGTAGTCGAGGCTCTTGAGGACAAGTGAACCTAATGTTATAGTGCAGCTTCTGGCCTAGAATTTACAAATATTTCTCTCTCCACAAATAATACCATATACCAAACCGACAGCGCCATATACACCAATTTACAGCCATTGGCTGATTTGAGTATCATGAGCCGTATAGTTATCATGGCTGCTAGGGAGGCCCATACTTGCATGTGCGTGCCCTCGCACTGAAATTAAGCCGCACGTTGGAAGGGGCAAAAAAAACTAAAAGATTAAAGGAAATGCTCGAGGTCATGACAGGTGCGTGACGTAACTCTCTGCCATCCCTCCCTGCTTACCTTCCAGTGTGCTCATTAGGACAAAAAATGAGGCAGCAATTGTAGCGTGTGACAAATCTAGCTCCGTTTCTACTTCTTGGATTGTTTTTGTGGCTGTCTATATGTTATGCAATGAACTCCTTTAATAAAGCCATTCAATGTTTACTTGGAAAAGAGCTGCAGGGCCCCTTTAATAGCAGGTCTTTCTCTGGTGTTCACCTCAGGACTTGCAAACAAGTACTCTTGTTCGAATTTTACTAGGTTACAAGATGGCAATAGGAATCTTGGTTAATAATCATTGTCGAAACTTGGCACACTTGGAGTTCTGTCTATACTTTCTTTGTTTTATCACGCTATAAGATCACGGTAATACAGTTTTATTGTGGCCTACGTATATGTTGGATTGTTAAATGTGCATTCTTGCTCACATCTGGGACAGGTAACAAGATAAAACAGGTAAAGCCAATCACTCAAAAACTACTGTAAATAAATAAACACACACACTTGTAGCAACACTGTTATTGCCAGCTGAAAAATTTGATCATATTGCCACCTAGAGTTGTGAGCCAGCAAGCCCTAGCCAGCCGAAAAGGGCGAAGAGAACAAACATGAAAAAAATGTTTGCTGCCCAGGCACGATAAGGCGAGTATCACCGCGTAAAATAAGGTTTCAGGCGGATGACACGTACAATCTCTGTTCGTGGTGAGTGGCGCTTAGTCGTTGCCAAGCCTCCGCCTGGAATAACTTCACAGTTGACCTCGCGGTACAGCATCTGAAGTCGCCCAGTTTTTCATGCACCACATTGTGCTTCGTCACGGCGCCCCGTTATTCATCATCACTGACCAAGGGACAGCTTTTACGGCAAAACTGTTGGACAACATCCTCAAGCTCAGTTACACGAGCTAGTGTAAGACAACCGCATATCACCCTCAAAGTAACGGCCTGACAGAAAAGCTAAACAAAGCGGTGGCGGACATGATTTCTATGTACGTGGATGTGCAGCATAAAACGCGGGACGAGATTCCTGCCGTACGTAACGTTTGTTTACAACACCGCAACCCAGGAAATGAGAAAGTTCACACCCTTCCGCCTCGTTTACGGTCAAGACGTGCAAACCATGCTAGACGCTATGATTCCTTGTGACATCGGCCAGCACGAGCTGTTAACATTTGACGTCGAGGATTACATTCAGCGTGCAGAGGAAGCACGTCAACTAGCTCACGTGCATATAAGATCACAGTAATGTGCAGATGCCCGAAGGTACAATATCCACCATCGACAAGTCACCTATCAACTTGGCGACTAAGTGTGGGTTTTGACTCCGGTTAGACAGCGAGGTCTCAGCGAGAAACTCCTGAGCAAGTACTTCGAACCCTGCATAGTATTACGATGGTTGAACTAGGTCAACTATGAAGTTATTCCAGACGGAGGCTCGGCAACGACTCAGCGCCACTCACCACAAACAGAGATTGTGCATGTCGTCCGCCTAAAACCTTATTTTACGCGGTGATACTCGCCTTATCTTGCCCGGGCAGCAAACTTTTCTTTTTATGACCATTGGATCTTCAACGAACTGTAAACTGTGTTAATTTTTTTCTTATGACCAATCACAGACTTTTTTTTTTGCACCTGCATATTCCCTTTGCACTATAAGTATCGTTTTTTCCTTTTTTTTTTTCCTATGGGCCCTGGCGTCCCCTTGTGAATGAGCATCGAGTCGATGCTCTAATGGAAGGAGGAGTGGTGCCACCTAGAGTTGTGAGCCGGCAAGCCCTAGCCAGCCGAAAAGGGCAAAGAAAGCAAAGACAAAGTGTGCATTAGCACTTCGTTAAAAGATACACGCTCATGTTTTTCTGCCCCGCTGTTCCTGTCTTGTCTCTATAGCTCTTGGTGCGTGACATTATGCATTGCTGATTTTTTTTATCGTTCTTACCCTGCCAGGCATTGTGATCTATAACCGGAACCATCTGGCAAAATGCCTGAAAGGAATAATTGATGTAGCAGAATTGTATGGAGTGAGTTTTGATCACAAGTCATTATTGGATAACACTGTGGTCGCCTGGATGGAGACAGTGAAAAGTGGGCATACAAATGAGAATTCTGAAAGCTTTACACATGTTGCAGAGCTGTTGGAGAAACTTTCCAAGAAGTGCAGCAGCAGGTGAGCTCAAGTGTTTTTCAGGTGCCTTCAATTTGTGCTGAAGCTAACAATTTTTTTTTTACACATTGCAGCGATATGCAGAAGATCATTGCCTACTGTGAAGAAGCATGCATAGACACGTCACTTGTAAGTGTTACGACAGTGTAATATACAAAAATGCCAAAAATTTGGTTCAGCTTTGTTGAGCTGACTGTACCTTTTGAGAGTGTAATATTGTAACGGGTGCAAGAGAATAAGTACCAAAACCTAGTTTATTATTGGCGAACTTGTGCCCTGAAAATTATGTGCGAAAAAAATGGAAGAGTCCACTAGAGCGTTCCAAAACAAAAACTGTTCATCCGCCAACACACCTTCTTCTTCGCAGCTCCAACCCACACTGACCCATGCCCGTGAACAAGAGGCATGAGTCGTGCGGCCACCAGCAGGAGTGTGCACAAGACTGTGGATGCTGATTCTTCATAATGTCGGATAGTGTGAATAGTCTCTGTGGCATTAGTCCCCCTTCGAAGTACGCATCGTCCCGATGTGCGATGGAGAGAGGCAAACAGAAAAGGGGAGCTTTTTCATTCCCTCTCATAATAGGGCTTCATACGAACGACGTGTAAGACTTCTGCACTGTTTTGCCGCTTTGAATGGATGTGTCCATTGGCGATGACTTTGTAGTTTAGGTCACTAATTCGTCGGAGAACCTTATAGGGGCCAAAGTATCGACAAAGGAGCTTTTCTGATAGGCCCAGCGTCGTATTGGTGTTCATATCCACACTCGCTTGCCTGGGTTGTACTGAACTTTTCTGCGGCGCAGGTTGTAGTGGCTTGCGTCCTTGTTTTGCTGTTTATGTATTCGGTGTCATGCCAACTGGCGTGCTTCTTTAGCCCTTTGCAGAAAGTCGTCAAGTTCAGATGGCTTGTAATTGTCGTTGTCTACTGGCAACATGGCAACGAGTGTCGTAGTGAAAGTGCGACCGTAAACCAGCTGAAATGGTGTTACGCGGATGGTCTCCTGCACGGTCGTATTGTAGGCAAAGGTTGCGTATGGCAAGATTTCGTCCCACAATTTATGCTCAGTGTCAACGTACATCGACAGCATGTCAGCGACGGTGCGGCTCAGGCATTCTGTCAACCCGTTGGTTTGGGGATGGTATCAGTGGTCTTCCTATGACTGGTGTTAGTCATTGTCATTAAAGACTGCATCAAATCAGCCGTGAACGCTGCTCCTCGATCGGTAATCACGACGAGTGGGGCTCGTCGTGATTACCGAAGAAGAATATTCTGAATACCGAAGAAGAATACCGAAGAAGAATATTCTGAACAAAAAACTTTGCGACTTCCGTTGCTGTTCCTCGCTCAAGGCAGCCGGTTTCAGCATATCATGCCAAATAGTCAGTAGCAACTATTATCCACTTTTTCCTGATGCTGACATTGGAAACGGTCCGAGGAGGTCCATTCCAACCTATTGAAATGGAGTCGCAGGTGGCTCTATAGGCTGGAGAAGGCCAGCCGTCTTGAGGGGTGGTGTTTTGCACCTTTGACACTCGTGACATGTCTTGACGTAATGCTTCACGGACGCTAGCAACTTGGGCCAGTAGTATTTCTGATGAATTTTGGCGAATGTTCGACTCGCGCCCAAGTGACCCGCAGACGGTTCATCATGTCGGGCTTCTAAGAGTTCATGCCTCATGGCTGATGGTACAACGAGTAAGGATTTCTCCTTGTTGTGTTTGAAATTCCTGTTGTAAAGGGCATTATCTCGGAGGCAGAATGAGGATAACCCTCTCTTAAATACGCGAGGAACTTGTTTGTCGTGCCCTTCGAGATACTTTATTAATGGGAGCAGTTCCATGTCAACCCATTGATGTTCGGCGATTTCTGAGGTTTTTATCACACAAAGGAGTGGGAAGTCCTCTTCTTCTGAAAGAGTCGAGTCGACTGGTGAACGTGATAAGCAGTCAGCATCATCATGCTTTCTGCCAGACCTATATACGACCGTAATGTCATATTCTTGGAGCCTCAGACTCCATCTTGCAAGCTGTCCCGATGGGTCTTTTAAGCTCGCCAGCCAACAACGTGAGTGATGGTCGCTGACGGCACGGAACGGCCTGCTGTAGAGATATGGCCTGAACTTGCTGATCGCCCATATGACTGCAAAACACTCTTTTTCGGTTGCAGAGTAGTTTCTTTCGGCTTTTGAGAGGGTGCGACTAGCATATGCTATCACTTTCTCTTCTCTATTTTGCCATTGCACCAGGACCGCACCTAGGCCAAGATTGCTGGCATCTGTATGAACTTCCGTATCTGCGGTTTCGTCGAAGTGGGTCAGAATAGGTGGGGCTTGCAAACGTTTCTTTAGTTCGTTGAAAGCGCTGTCTTGTTTGGTGCACCAAATAAATGGCACGTCCTCTTTTGTTAGAGGTTAGAGTCTTGTTAGAGGTTCGGCAATTTACGCGAAATTTTTCACAAACCGCTTGTAATAAGCACATAAACCCAAAAATCGCATACCTCTTTCTTGTCTTTTGGCTTGGGAAACAGCCCCACGGCCACAGTCTTCTCCGGGTCCGGGCCAACACCTTGAGCGCTGATTACATGACCGAGGAAACGAAGCTTCTTGAATCCAAACTGGCATTTTTCCGGTTTAATCGTCAAGCCGGCTGACTAGATAGCCTGAAGCACCGAACGTAGTCGCTCTACATGCTGTTGAAACGCTGAAAACACCACGTCGTCCAGGTAGACTAAGCACGACTGCCATTTGAGGCCTGAAAGGACGCTGTCCATCATGCGCTGGAATGTTGCAGACGCATAACAGAGGCCGAATGGGAGTGCTTTAAACTCATATAGACCATCCGGGGTTACGAAAGCAATTTTTTCACGGTCCCTTTCGTCCACTTCAATTTGCCAATAACCGCTTTTTAAATTCAATGAAGAGAAATACCTTGCGTGCTGTAGCCGATCCAACGTATCATCGATACGTGGCAAAGGGTATACATCCCGCTTGGTCACGCTGTTCAGCTTCATTTTCTCACAAGGACTACAGGCGACGCCCACGGACTATTGGATGGCTGTATGACGTCCTCCAGCATCTCTTTCACTTGGCTCTTTATGATCTCTCGTTCCTTCGGTGATACTCTGTACGGATTTTGGTGTACCGGCCTTGTAGCTTCATCTGTTATTATTCGGTGTTTAACAACCTGGGTCCGCCGTACTTTTGACAAGGTAGAGAAACATCCTGTGAAGTCATTTAGGAGGTTTTAGCAGGTGGCCCTGACACAAGACCACATAAGTCCAGCACTGTTTGAAAACCGTGCAGGAAGGCGATAGCAGTGTCCTTTGCAATATGCAGAATTTCGTTTCCGAAATTTGTGAGCAATACATCGGCACATCCACCACGTAATTGAATAATGCCTCGAGCTACACAAATGCCTTTCTTGAGCAGTAGTTCGATGTTTACATCCGCTATACCTTCAGAATCAACGAATGCTTCATTTCTTACACTGACTATTACGCTGCACCGTGGCGGCACGGTAACATCGCAACCTATAACACGTAATGCAGTGTACTCTGGCTCATTTGTGTCTATGGCCAGTTAGGTCGAAAAAGAGACACTAGAGTTCTGCAGGTTGATTATAGCTCTGTTTGCTTGCAGAAAATCTATTCCGAGTATTAAATCTCTAGAGCATTTTGGAAATACAACAAAGCCAGCAACGTAACTAGCGCCTTGAATTCCGATTCTTGCGGTACATCTTCCCAGAGGTGTGATGAGATGACCCCCAGCAGTGCGTATTTGGGGTCCACTCCAATGCGTCAGATCTTTCTTTAAATCCTTTGCAGCAGCGTAACTGACAACCGAATAATCGGCACCTGCGTCAACTAAAACTTTAAATTCACACCCATCTACGGTAACGCGTAAGTCTAAAAAAAATATTGTCTTTACCTAACCTAGTTGTAGTGTCCCGCTCATCGTTGCTGCACTGGGACCTTGACAGAGTATCAGTTGGTCGGACATCAGCGGCCTTGCCTCCATAGGTCGCTGGCTTCAGTTTTCCTGATGAGGACTGCTTGAACGACGGTATGTTGAGGTTGAAGGTGGAGAAAATGAACTAAATCGTCGAGGGCTTGGTGATCGATAGCGAGCAGGCGCTGGTGATCTAGGCAGATGCTGGAAACCAGCAGTTGGAAACAGATGGCTGGACAAGTAATCTTCAATTTCAACGGGTCTTTCGCCATTTCGGGGACATGGCGCGTTTGGAGAAAACCCACGGAGACCAACTCATTGATATGCGCACATTCTGTACAGGTGTCCAGCTTCGCCGCACTGAAAACAGAGAGGCGTCCTGTCGGGTGTGCGCCACACGTCGCTTTTTCGTGGCCTCGAATTAGCTGGATAGTTTGAGCCACGTGAAGCCGGTCGGTAGCCACTGAGAGCTGCAAACGAAGCAGTATGCACGGCGGGCTGGCGTACAGCATCTGTGTAAGTCGGTACGGGGCGTTCCTGTAATTGCTGTTCAAGTCGAACAGGTTGCACCTCGGGTTCGGCTTGTAGAATGGCGTGGCGAACTTCATCTCTGATCAGCGTAGTGAGAGACGAAACTGGCGTTGCGACTTGTCAGGTCAGCAGCTCCTGGAGCTCTTCCTTCACAATGGATCGTACCATTTCCCTCAATGCTTCGGTGCTGCTGCCCAGGTTTACTGAGAGGACATCCGCAGGAACACTACTCGTATCATGATTGTAGTGACGGGAGCGCTGCTTCAATGCCCGCTCTATGGAGGTGGCTTCGGTGCAGAATTCAGCAACTGTACGAGGTGGGTTGCCTACCAAACCAGCAAATAACTCCTGTTTGACACCTCGCATCAAGTGACGCCGCTTTTTCTCTTCGGTCATGTTCGGGTCAGCGCGTTTGAAAAGGCGGGACATGTCCTCAATATACATGCCAACAATTTCGTTCGTGCGCTGGTTTCTGGACTGTAGAGCGTTCTCCTCCTTCTCCCGACGATCGGTGCTGGCATATGTAGCTACTATTTGTCGTCGAAATTCTTCCCATGTCGGTATGAGCGCTTCGTGGTTTTCATACCATGTCCTCGCTGCATCCTTCAATGCGAAGTACACGCAACGCAGTTTCCTTGCTTCATCCCAGCCATTGGTCTTCGCATTTGCTCGAAGTGTTCTAACTAATCTTCTACATCTTCAAACGTGTCGCTGTGGAAGGGCTCAGGCAAGCACGGTGGGGATAGAATAAGTTCCGATGATGTCACCTGGTAAGCCATCGTTCTGTTGTCTGTGAATGTTGCTTGTGTTGCTGGAGCACTGGGGAGGGGTGCAAATTCAGGTGGCTCTCCTCGAAGGCGGTGGCGTGAACGCTGGTGTACCGGAGTCAGTTCTCCAGGTTCCAATCGTTGTGGATCGGGGCTTCGCTCTCTTGCGCCAAGGGGGCTTCCAATCGTACCCAGCACCTCCACCAGAATGTAACGGGTGCAAGAGAAGAAACACCAAAAACTAGTTTATTATGGGCGAACTTGTGCCCTGAAAATATGTGCGAAAAAAATGGAAGAGTCCGCTAGAGCGTTCCAAAACAAAAACTGTTCATCCGCCAACACACCTTCTTCGCAGCTCCAACCCACGGTGACTCATGCCCGTGAACAAGAGGCATGAGTCGTGCGGCCACAAGCAGGAGTGTGCCCAAGACTGTGGACGCTGATTCTTCATAATGTCGGATAGTGTAAATAGTGTCTATGGCAATATGACCTGATAAACAAAAAGGAAGAATATTTGGAGGTGGACAAACTTGTAGACGGTTACTCAACATGCTTTCTGGATGACAGAGATAATTCTTTTGGCTGCACTCTCTTTATTTCTTAAAAGGCATATTAAGTCAATTTTAAAGAAATATGATGAAGGTCTGGAGTAACGAATGTCACAAAAAAAACCTTTTTTTGTTTTTAAACTATTTGTTACGACCCAAGCTCTGTACTTCGTCCTGCATTGTCTTGAAGAAAAGCAAGCTTTATTTGTTACGTTGTAAGAACAAGCTGATGTTTGAACCTCAGCATACTGAATGAAAACGTAATGAATTAATCGAATAATGAGGTTGAAGTAATCGTAATAAAATGTAATGAAGTAATCGTAAGTAATAAAGTAAAGTAATGAAGTAAAGTAAGTAATAAAATGATAATGAATTAATCGAATAATGAGGTTGGACTAAGCCATGAGTTGTGTAATTCATACCTGATTTCACAATATCTTTTACTGTGCCGAAACCGAGTGCACTATATTCTAGTGCTTGTTCATTTGCAGGCCGACACTTCACTCCTTTTCCTGAGGTGTGTTGTGTGCCATGCACGTCCAGAAGCCCTATGTGCCACCAACTGGCACTTCATGCAGCAGCTGATCGATGCCCATTGCCAGCGTGGAGGTGAAAATGTCCCACAGTGCTTAGCTGGTTATGTGAACAAGTTGCCAGATACGACTCTAGAGGAGACCTTGGGCTGCTTGTCGCTGCGCCTTGAGCCTGGATGGACAGTTGCGAAGGCTGAACTGCTGTTGTGGGTGACCAAAGCACTTCTATTGAGGGGGTACCCAGACCTCATTCTCTGTACAACGTTGGTAAGTCTCTATTATTATGTAACTTTTGTCCCACCAATTAAGGCATTACAGCAGAAGAGCAAACTACTATATTAAGTGCACCCGATTGCCACAATGACCCTAGTTAACGGTGCACATCCCACTCAAGTGTCAAACTAAAAAAAAAACTCAGGGTGTTGAATCAGAACTGACTGAAACTGAAAATCAATTCTCTTGTTTTTTTATGTCACCAAAACTGTTCTTGGAACATTGGAACGAAACTGAAACAAAAGATAGTGATATTTGGTTGTGATTGGTGGCTTTGACTTAATCTTTTGTTCGTGCATTCACTGTAAAAAATAAGAGGTGAAGGTATGTAAATGTTAGCAACCTACCTTTTCTGTTTCTTGTTTTCTTGTATTTCCTTCTTTTCTTCGGCCATTTTTTTTTTAATTTAATGGCAAAACAATTTGCTACAATGTTCATGCTTTATAAATACCATATTTGCTTTTCTTCAGACTTCAGTTTCCAAGAAACATGAAAAAAATTTTGCATGGCAGCTGTTGCAGAACATACTACGCTCTCTAGACTGATATCATGAGCCGGTCAGCCTTTGGGAACTTTGCCAAGAGCAGGAGTGGGACTATTTCTTTAGTTACGAAGGTGATCGACTACCGAGCATCGGTCTTGTGGGTGGAGCCTCTCCGGACTTCTCAAGTTGTATCTGACTATATTTCGCATTTTAATGAGGGCAAATGCAAAGGCACTTATGAGCTTATATATAAGTGCACGTTAAAGAAACATATATGGTCACTATTAATCTGTAGTTACTCACTATAGTGTGCCTTATAATCGTATCATGATTTAGACGGTGTTAAACTCGAGAACCGAAAGAAAAAAAAAATTACTCGACACCATAAAAGCGCCATAAAAATTGGTGCTCTTACACACGTTCATAAAATTGCAACTTTTGTGAGAAGTGATAAGGCACCCTGTGCAAGACATCAAGCTTCATCTATACCTGTATAGTATATACAAATCTAGTGATTACCCAAATGACATGTCGGGCTTTGTGGACACATGCTGCTGCTCACTCGGAACATTCGAGATATGACTGCGTGCAGTTCTGCCGGTGTTAAAGCTGCAGAAATGTGCGTAATAAACCAAAATGTCATTTTACTTGCAGTTTTTGAGACGGAAGCTTTGACTTGCAGGAAGCAATTCTTTTAGAGGGTCTCTAAACCAACAAAAGGTTAAATTTTAGTAGTGGTATGACAGTTGTGCATAAGTGTATAACAAACACATAGCCATGATAATTTTCGTGTTTGTTTCTTAGGTATGGTACATCCAGGGGTGGAAGTACCACGCCACCTGCGCCACTCTGCGCCAATCTGGCCTGCTGTGCCAGGCTGTGCATGAATGGCAATATCTGCGATAATTGTTGATTGGAAGTTTAAACTGCCAAATCTAGCCGACTATTATCGTAGACCAAACAACACTGAGCTGTTAATGCAGATGACTGAGGTGCAAAAAACATCTTGTGAAACGGGCAGAGCAGAAGAGAAGAAAGAATGGTGATTCTTGGTAGGAATGGTAAACAAACAGCTAGAGAGCTCTTGGAAGCTTTATATATTAAAAAGAAAGGGCCCGATTGTATCAGTGATACGTCTATAATGTTGTATTCCACAAAAATACGGCTTTTCGAAAACTTATTGCTTTGAGTATGACACTGTACGACGTCTGTTGGCTGTGCACGCATGCGCGGAATTGTCTTCTTTTTTCCTTCGCGTTTCTTAGACTGTCATAAAGAGATGGTAGTTGTTGCTGTTCTTTCTTCTCATCTGCTCTCCCCGTTTTACTAAATGTTTTTTGCGTCTCGGTCATCTGCACCAAGTAAGCACCATCTTTCCCCAAAAGAAGTCCTTTTGTTATAGTGAGCTGTTAACACTGAGCAACACTGAACTATTATTTATCAAGAAATGCAGTGAAACCTCAATGATTAGTACCAGCCGGAAATGCAGCATGATCATCGTGCTTACAAGTGCTAATGTGCATCTCCTGATGTGCCCCATCCCAACCAATGAAGAAATACACTACCACAGCAGATGTTGGCAGCGGCTGAAATAGCGACAGAACGGACACTGTCGGCTTTCCTCAATATGTACTTGCGCATCCCTACTACAATGTAATGCTAAGGGACAACTGACAGTTTTGATTCAAACATGGAGCGGTACCATGTTCTCGGATCATATCCTGGTTAGTTGCTTGCAGCGCGCCGCCAACGCTACCCACTCCATCACGGGCGGTTTGATGTACCGTGCGCGGGTATTTGGCGTGTGAATTGCTGGTTCCTACTTTGCCCCAGACAGAGTACACATGAGCAGAGTAGTGAGTTTAATTCACATGAGGCCAACCAACTTCTGCCTCGTGAAGTGCACCGCGATTATCCATATGCTGTTTCACACGTCAGGTGTAACCCTGCGGAGGCTAACGAGACTCCTTGCAATAGATACGTTTGTGTTTTTACCACCCAGAATATATTTTTCTTTTTGTTTCAGGCTGAGTATAAAGTGGGCATGTTTTGCATCTCACTCACACACACATGCACACACACACATGCACACACACACAAACACACACACTCAGACTTGTAGGTGGTAAGTCTGTTAAGCTCACTGGTACTGAATGTTTAGTCAAAACCATTCAAATATTTTTTTTACCGGAAATAATTTTGAGTTATGATAATGTTTGACCTTAAAGGCTGCTCCAAAACTAACTCGTGCCACTCCAAAACACATCTTTTGGTGCCCTTAACCTGCTCCAAGACTCCCCTTTTACTGCATCAAAACTACTCCAAAGCAGCGTTATTCCTGCTTCCTGAGCTGTTTCAAAACACTGAAGCCCACTTCCACCCTGTACATCTTATATTTTGGTTATGTTTGAAAGTCATCTTACATGCTCTTATGTACCTGGAAATCTGCGTGGTTTCACCATGCAACATATTTTTTACAATTCTGTTCGAAGAACTTGTATACTGTTCGCAAAAAAGCGTGTCGTCTATGTTGAAGAAAAGAAAAAATTTGTTATGCTGTAAATTTGCAAAACACATGTCACTATTCTATTTGTTTGTTTTTCTTTTTTCGACAGATAATCTGTATACCGATACATTGAAGTTTTTTTGTGTGTGTGTGTGTGTGTGTGTGTGTGTGTGTGTGTGTGCATGTATTGTCTACAGCCAAATTCTGTAGGGGCAGGGGCCATTGTCAAGCCGCTATGATAGCGGCTTTTTTGTTCCTGTCCTGGCAATTTTTCAAATGAATGCTGAAAAAAAGAATCTCTGATGTTTTTAAAACGCTGGCGTAATAGCGGTGCTGATGATCGGAATGCAGTGATCGCTCGTTTCAGTATTTCCTTTGCTACTCTCTCTTGTAAACTGGTCTTACAATGTCACTTTTTCCTTCTCATCGAGGACCCCGCACTATCTCACATGACATACCATTATCGCTGGCGAAACAATGTGCACTCTTAGTTTCCTTGACTCCGTGAATTCCCTGCGTCTTGGCTAACTGCTGTTGTTGTCGTGCTGGCCTGTGCTCCTGCGAATCGTGCCGTTATATACCCTGTGTTGTGCGCACGCCTTCATGGGATTGGCAATGTGATCGACCCATGGGGTGACGCGTCCGAATCCTGCAGCAGGTGCCGGTCGTGATGGTAGTCTTTGGCAGCGAAGTGGCACCCACAAACACAGAAAACCCTGTTGTGTTTTATTTCTGCCGTGACTCTGATGCGCACAAGCCGAGCATTTTTGCAAGACAATATGACGAGGCAACACGCGTCGTGTTTTCCAGGATGCATGAAAGCCATTGCAAAACACTGTCGTATTTGGTTCGTGCAGCTTACCAGACTTTTACGTGTCACTGTGTTGGCACACTAGAGATCATGGGTCGCAGTTCTGATTAGCAAGCACGCACACACATTTTACTTCTCTAAGTGTGCCTGCACAGTGTAATTCCTGCTTGCAGCATAAGGACAATGTTGAGCTTCTGTGAAAGAAAAAAAAAAAACAATTGTGAAGCTTTTTTTTACATTACTATTTGGTCATTCAAATGAACATGAGCTTATTGTGTAGCTTCTCCATGATATCATTTTTACAGTCCTTGGAATAAAAAAAAGAAAAACACAGCTGGTTTTTTTAAGTGTATTGATATATTTCGCACAACTGAAGTGGTTTGGTGAGTAGTTGTGGGAGCAGACAGGCGAGCTACGCATTATTCATTGCATGCCACCAGCCACAGTACATGTTGAAAAGCATATGTTCTTGCATGTGTCTTTGCAGTCAAACAACAGCGTGGTAGTGTGCAAAGGTGCTTTTCAACTGTGGTGCAAGCCAATACTTAGGACTAAGGAAAGTTGCACCTGGGTAATTATTCCACGCCAGGCGTCCCGGCCATCTCAAGTGTATCCTAAACAAAAATCATGCTCATTTATTGCAATGAAAAGAGTGAATTGCTGGCTTATTTTGGATAGGACAAGTATGTTTTTCATGTGGGTACCTTACAAATTTCCTAGAATGCCCATACAGCAGCTTCCTTTCAACGAAGAAGCTTCCATGTGGCCAAATGGGGAGAGATAGCCATCATTGGGAAACTTCAAAAATTATTTCATTCCTAATAAAGATAAAACTTGCCTCATGAGAATAACTGTTCATTTGCCTTTTATTGGGGTACAAAACTGATTTTTAATTGCTTTTGATGCTAATTGTGTCTTAATGTAAACAAAAGTTATGATTATCTGCCATTTGCGATATTGTTTTCATGATGTTCAAAAATTTGAGTGGTCTGAAAGTATTTTTAATATAACTTATACCTTTCATAAAGTAAGTATTCATTTCTCAGATATTCATGCAAGGCACAGTATTGCACTAGAAAAAATTCGAACATAAAATAGAACACATTAGTGAAGTTTTATGAGGCTTATCTGGCTAAAAAAATTTGGACTGATATTACTGTGCTTCAAACAACTTTAACAAAAACCTTTTCTTAATATGTAAACCAAATTTTGTAATGAAATAAGGGCATCTCTCATACTCATATGATGGTTTAAGGTCATAAAACTCCAAATATTATTGGAATTGAAATAAGAAGCGACACTGAGAAAAAGTTTCTAACAAACAACACCCGGACCACATTCTGGGAAATCTGAAAGGTGCCCACATGAAAAAAAATTATTTTCCACCCAAAACATGTTGGCAGTTCACTGTTTTCATTGTAATAAATCAGCATGATTTCCTTTTTCTTTTTTTTTCGAATTCATTTGAGGTGGTCGCTAAAATGGCTGGGACTTGTAGTGTGACAGAAGCAACTTTTCATAATCCTAAGTATTGGTTTGCACCACACTTGAAAGGCACTGTTGCCTGCCACCACTCTCTAGTTGGCTGTAAAGTCCCATGCATGGTCATGTGCTTCTCAACATATGTTGTAGCTGGTGGCATGTAGTCATACATAACTCGCCTATCTGCTTTCACGACTATTCAACATAGCACCACAGTCGTAGAAAACACATAAAAACATTTTTAAAAAAGCAGCTGTATTTTTTTTATCCTGTTTTTTATTTGTCTTTGTGTTCATCTTATTTTTTTAATACAGTAGACTTGCCATAATTCAAACTCTGATAAATCATACCTTTGATTAATTCAAACAAAATTAAATTTTTTGGTTGGCCCTCTATTCTTTCAATGTATTTAAATTCAAACTCTTAATTCAAACTCCATCATTCTGTCAATTCATACTCTTTGCAGCTCCATACCAGAGAATATCTGCTGCTTTCTCATTACTATTTGAAAATTTCAATGCTTATATAATCCAAACATTCTAAAAATTAAAAATAAGCACCTCAGGCCTTAAGGAAAAAGGCTTTGCTAGAGAACAAATGTTTGATACAAAGTACACGCATGGTAAACTGTGATGCTTCTCAACTAGTATCTAGTATAGAGGGCTTTGTGCTGAAGGCACATACTTATAGCAAAGAACCAGTTGGCAATTCACAAATTCTTCAAAAGGTCTGATCAGCAGTAAATGACCATTAAACTGGTGGACCTTACTTCTCTGCTTTCTGTTCATTGTGTGCAGTTAGGGTTTAAAAACACTTCAAAAATTTTTAAATGTAATGAAATCAATGCTTGATGATAATTTGTGATGTCACCTCATGCGGAGTCATCGATCTGAGAACTTCTGATAATTCAAACTGAGTTCAGAGTTTCCTTCAAGTTTGAATTAACGAGAGTCGACTGTAGTTATTTTCATGAAGCATAAGTTATGCTGTGTATTTCCTCCCTGCAATAATGCCCTCGACACTGCAGGCATTTTTGAGTAAATAAATAAATAAAGATTAAAATTGATGTCACAGAACAGGTTCGTTTCGTGACGTTTATGCTCATTTGCACGACCAAATAATAATTGCATAAAATGCATTTTTTTCTTTTTACAAAACCCTTACACTTTCCTTGTGCTGCAAGCAGGTAAATTACACAGTGGAGGCATACTTCAGAAGTAAAATTTTTATCAATGTGGAACACTGTTGAGTACATGGCTAGCATGCCTGCGTCTCATAAATGGTACATTGAAAACTGCACTAAATGTGCTATCAATTGTAAAACCACAGCAAGCTTTTGCACATTTTTAAATGAGGCAGCACAGTACAGTTGATATGCAAGTACAAGCAGTGCTGTATGAAATAAACCCTGTAAAGACAACAAAGTATAGTAGACTCGCAATAATTAAAAACTCTGATAATTCATACTTTCAGTTAATTCAAACAAAATTCATTTTTATGGTTGGTTCTCTATTCTTTCAATGTATTAGAAAGCCTTCTAATTCAAACTCCATCATTCGGTTAATTCATACTTTTTGTGGATCTATACCAGAAAATATCTGCTTCTTTCCCATTATTATTTAAAATGGTGTGCTTATATAATCGTAACAGTCTAAAAATGAAAAATAAGTACCTCAGGCCTTCAAGAAAAAACAACCTTTACTAGTAAACAAAAGTTATAAATGAAGCACACGCATGGTAAACCGGGATGATTCTCAACTGGGATAGAGAGCTTTGTGTTGAAGGCATATACCTATAGCAATGAAGCAGTTGGCAATTCACGATTTCTTCAAAAGCTCTGATCAGCATGTGGGGGTGCTGACACCCCCCCTGTAAAGTTGTCTGTGCCGCGTGGCGCACGTGTCTCGCCCCAGGGCGTTATTTCGGTGGTGACCACCACCGGGCGATAGATGGCGTTGTGTTCGCTTTGAGTACCACTGTTGGTAGAGTGGTAGCGCCGGTGGTGGCCCCTGGCGGAAGGCGGGCTTTGGTGGTGGGCGAGCGTTGAGCGAGCCTCTTCTGCGCGTGGCGGCTGCCGCGAACGGTTGTCTGTAGCGCGGGTCCCCGGTGCTCGGCACCGCGGGCTTCGCGCCGGGGTCCCACGTGTAAGGTCAGGTGTTGGCGACGCCGCATTGGGTATGTGCTAGTGTGTTGGGTGTGTTAGTGTGTGTTTATCATGTTATTGTGTGTTTAGTGTGTCCTGGCATTACGTTGTTTGTATGGTTTAGTGTTAATTGAAATTGTTGTATCATTCGGCGGACGATATCGTCGTCTAAATTGGTTAATAAATGTATGTGTGTTGTGTGATTGTACCGACCGGTGTTCACTGTGTCCGTCACTCCAAGAGCGTGGCGTGGCGGTGCGCGCGTTCGCCTCGTCGAGACCCCACAAGCAATAAATGGCCAATATACTTGTGGACTTTACAGCTCTGCTTTCTGATCACTACGTGCAGTTAGAGCTTCAAAACACCTAAAATTTTTGAATGTGATAAAATCAATGCCTAATCATAATGTGCGGTGTCACCTGACCCGGAGTCGTCTATCTGAGAACATTTGATAATTCGGACTTCTGGATAATTCATACAAAATTCAGAGGTTTCTTCAAGTTTGAATTAACGAGAGTCGACTGCAGTGGTAGAACATATCGTTATAACGAATTTTTGGATGTAGCAATTCCATTTTTATCTTAGGTGTAACTTTGTTACAATGAGGCTTGAGCGTATTATAAGCAGAACCGGTAGCTCTGGCAGGGACATTTTGCATGGAGTGGCCCACTTGTGAAGTGCAGCAAGCACAAGTGCTGATGTCTTGACCAAGACCTTTATCGCTGTCAGCTCTGTTTGCGTGGATTAGCGTGCTGATATATATTTTTTAACCAAATTTAAGCACTAGATGGTTACTTTCCCGAAACCTGTGAACAAATCCTGCACTATAATTCTTTACAGTCAATTGTGGCTGTTGTGTCACAGAAGATCTGATTGGTTCATATTAAGAAAGCACCTGTAGACAGAAAGTAAGGCGATTTTATTTAATATGCTTAATAATTTAAATATATGCCAAATTTGCAATTTTCTGAGCTGTTATTTTAAACTCATTCAAGCAATACAGTGCAGTGAGTGTATACGTTGAATATTAAGAGTTCTTGTGGTCAATTGGCAATAGTCATACTGTACTGTTCTTTTTTCTTTTAGCTGAAAGAGCTTCTGAAAGATGAAAACTTGGGGAGGCCTGTTGCTCAAGGCTTTAAACAAATTCTGCAACCGTCGGTGAGTAAACAAGATTTATGTTTGGTTCTTATTTTGTTTGTGTTGTCTTGTACATAATTATTATAGTTGTTAACACATAATCACATTACTGAATTATGAAGTGTAATTATATTATTTAAGTATAGTATAATAGTGAGCTCCCAGTTTAAATTCTGAAAACACCAATGCTGCATTCATTATTTGTCAGCTGATGCATAGAAATTCAATTAAGAAAATGTGTAGAATATTTGAGCGCACGTGAAATTCATAGGGACAACAAAAGTGCAAAGGCTATCTAAAGCTGTGCATATGTTCTGATTGATTACAAGTACTTTGTCATTTACACATGAATAGAGATCATGTTTTAGCAGAAATAGTTGTCTTTTTTAAACAGCTCAGTGTATTGTGCCAACATTGCATTTTATGTGCTCTTGATAATGCTTTTAATCTATTGTCTAGATAAGTTAGGATACAGAATAGAGGTGAAAAAACAGCGCGCAGACTAACAACCATTTATTTTTATTTTCCTCGGTGTATATAGTACTCCGTATGGTGAAACAAACTTGTTAGGTAGTGCCCTGTTTTGTTGCCTCTATTTTGTGTACCATCTTGGAAGTGTTTTTTGATTTAATAGGATCAGTATTTCGTCTTTGCTCTTTTGGTCTTGATCAACAGTTGTGTGCCCTAGGTTTCTTTTTCTCTTAAAGTCATGCAAAGCAGTACCTAGGGTACTATAAAAGCATCTTTTAGTCACTTGTATCGAGTGCAGTATAACAAGACTCACCAATGCATCTTGTCGCCTCCCAGACCACATGTATTACTGTCTGTGCAGGCCTGACCTTTCCAGTGGGCCTCGTGAGCTATATACCTTTGCAGAGATAACTTTGTCATTAGCTTAATTGGTAGGATTTCAACATGTGAAATAGAGCTGTGCACCGCCGCCGCGCAATAATTGTGTTGGGCCGCCATTTGACTGATTTTTACACGAGCTGGGAATCTGGGCATAAAATACGTCACTTCACCTTCTTTTCTGCGGCTTTAAAATTTCTCAGAGCAGCATTTACGGCGTCCTTACTGCTCTCTTGTGTCCGTGTTTGCATGCCCTGTTTATATAAGGGCCCTAAAACAGCTACTGAAGGTACACAACCGAGCGTGTTATTCTCTTGATGTTTTTCGTTTTTTTGGTGTCTTTTGTGACCCCAGAACTGTGATTTGCATGACATAATTAAGGCCATACTCTGGAGTGGTTCATATATGAGAGGTAACAGCGCGAAAGACGAGGACAACAAAAGCACACACAACAAACGAGGCAGGGAATTTTCATGTTCTTGATTTAATTGATGATGACTGATATACTTGGATATGCATTTACTTACATTCTTTGCAGCAATGAAGCCTCAGTTGCCAGTAAAACAGCGCTTCGTCTGTTGTGTGTGTGCCTCTGTTGCCCTCGTCTTTTGTGCTGTTACCTCAAGATATGTTAAACCAACTAGCCAATAAGTTGACCCATACACCATAAATATCAGTTACAAATAAATTTTGTGAGTTTTCGATTGTGCAAGTGTTAAATAACAGAGTGTAGCCCCCAAGCTCGAAATCCAGATGGCCTAATGCTTAGCGCTCACATTGCACACGTGCTTTATGAAAACATAAATGTCGGCGAAATAGTATAGCCTGAAAGGATTGTAGTGAAGAGATTGTACTGCAGTGTAATGGAGAAGAAAAGCAAAGGAAAGGGCTCCGAATTATTTCGATCTCCCAACAGACGAATTCTTTGCAGCGAAGACAACGACACCGTCCATCAAAAAGGCCAGCCCGCTTCTACAGTCTTTGTATATTATTTGATTGAGAGATGAGTTACATGGACACTCTCTACAGGTTTTATTCGTCCCTGTCATGTTTGGTATAATGTACAAATCAACTACTTTTGTACGCACACTGTATGCTGTTCCCGCAGATAAAATCTTGTGAGCGCTCACTGGGAACACTGTTGATGCATTACTGAAACAAGCTGCCCATCTCCATCGCACAGGGGGTGCATGCGATAACATGAAAGACGCCCACTGTCGATTGCCCCTCAACCGGAAATGAACGCCAGGCTGTCATCTTGCCCCACCACGGTGGTCTAGTCTCATCCAAGGTCTAATCTCAGCCAAGGTACTCGGCTGCTGACCCACAAGTCGCGGGATTAAATCCCTGCTGCGGCGGCTACATTTTCAATGGAGGTGAAAATGCTGTAAGCCGATGTGCTCAGATTTGGGTGCACGTTAATAAACCCCAGCTGGTCGAAATTTTCGGAGCCTTCCAATATGGCGTCCCCACATATCACAATCAACCCTGTCTGTCTTTTGCTGAACGAAGGAGTATGGTAGGAGGCTGCGTGGCTCGATCCGCAACTGTGAACTTTCAATATTGGGGCGTGCTCGCTAGATTTAACATGCGCGCTAACGCGTGCTATTTCTGCAGCCATTAGTAAACAGCTTGTGTACCCTTCTACTCACTATGATATCACTGTGTGCACCCTGCTTTTTTTTTCTGGCAGCAGCTGTATTCCCATACACTAGCGTTTTACAGTTTTGAAGATCAGATGAAAAAGTGTTAGCTGCAGTCCTAGTTCCTTATGGAGCTGTGTGCTTCTATCGCACAGTGTAAAATGCAAATTCGTCGAAGGGTTTTCTGGCTATGAAGTCACCTCAAAGTTACCGTATTCTCCTCAAAGACCTGGGTTCAAAACTGTTTTGTACTTTTTTAAAGCTGACACTTTCATACTAGACACTTTAGCCTCATCTTTTGAGGAATTTGAATGTTGTAGCGAATATTGCAATGTAGATGCGCTTCTTCTTATGTTTTGTCATAATGCCTATGAAAGTATGTGCCTCAAATATGTCCTAAATGGAACCCAAGACACCCATGCTATTATAAAGATATAATGCATCTCACTCGTGCATAAAGCGCTTACGTAAGAATCTCAAGTGTATGATGATGCTTGTTCATTTAATGCATTGAACAGTAAATTAGAATATTGTTACGGAAAAGAAGAGACACCCTATCAACGAGGCTGTGGATTAGATGTATTTGAAACCAGCGGTAATGGCGTGACCAGTTCACCAGCGATTGAGCGGAGACAACCCTTCGTCTTCCTCGTCAGGCACACACGCGCGTCACCCCCTAGAATCTCAGTATGCATGCATGCAGCATAATCCCCGGCAACCAGAAGCGCCATCTCGGCGCATCTACATGTCAACGTCACTAGGAGAGTGGTAGGGCTTCAAGCGCGCAACATGTACAATATCGGTAGCCTGTTGGGCACATGAAGGCGATGGGGCGACAGGACCGATTTCATATGTCACAGGAGTAACCACACAAAGGACTCGGTATGGACCTGTGTAGCGAGTAAGCAGTTTTTTTGACAAGTCAACTTGACGCGTCGGAGAACAGAGCAGGACCAAAGAACCGGGCGGAAAGTGTACCTCGCGTTGTCATTGGTCATAGAAACGCTGTTGCTTCTCTTGAGAGGTCATAAGGCGAGTACGGGTGATTTCTCGTGCGTGAACGGCCCGAGTGATAGTGTCCATGGCATATTCACTGGTCGGTACTGCAGGGGACGGTATGACGGTGTCTAGAGGCAATGTTGGTTTTCGGCCAAATAGCAGAAAAAATGAAGAGTAACCGGCAGTGTCATGGCACGAATAATTATAGGCAAATGTGACGTACGGCAACACAAGATCCCAGTCGGTGTGGTTGATAGAAACATACTTAGCGAGCATGTCTGTAAGAGTTCGATTGAGACGCTCCGTGAGTCCGTTGGTTTGCGGATGGTATGACGTAGTTAGCTTGTGTCTTGTTTGACAGGACTGCGAGATGGCGGCTATGATTTTGCACAAAACTGTGCGGCCACGGTCTGTAAGCAGCTGCCGTGGGGCTCCGTGTTGCAAAATCACGTCCTTGAGAAGGAATTCGGCGACGTCTGTGGCGCAGCTTGTGGGAAAAGCTCGTGTGATGGCATAACGCGTGGCGTAGTCGGTGGCCACAACTATTCACTTGTTACCCGAGGAAGACAAGGGGAAAGGGCCAAGTAGGTCCAAGCCAACGGGGAAGAATGGTTCTGACGGAATGACAAGTGGTTGAAAACATCCGGCAGGAAGTGTCGATGGCGTTTTGCGGCGCTGACATTTCTCACAAGCCACAACGTATCTTCTGACTGAGCGTGCAAGCCCTGGCCAGAAGAAGCATCGGCGTATTCGTTCGTAAGTGCGTGACACACCAAGGTGACTGGCAGTCAGAAGGTTATGAAGTTCAGTTAGAACTTCCGAATGAAGGTGTTTCGGAATGACAAGCAGCAGGGCCGGGCCATCCGGCTGAAAACTTTGGCGGTATAATACACCATTGTGGAGCACGGATGAGTGAAGGGACTGATTGGAGATGGTGATTCGAGGCGCTCAATGATAGCACGCAAGGACGCATCATGGCGCTGTTCGTCACCGATGGATGTCATTTGCGAAAGGGAAAAGACGTAAGGCTCAGTGTCGCTTTCAGGCATAGTGCTCGACTCAGCAACCGGGTTGCGGGAGAGGCAGTCTGTGTCCTGATGTAGGCGTCCAGATTTGTATGTCACCGTGTAGGTATACTCTTGCAGTCGCAGAGCGCAGCGCCCGAGCCGGCCAGTAGGATCCTTCAGTGACGTAAGCCAACATAGCGCATGATGGTCAGTTATTACAGAGAAATTTGTGCCATATAAATATGGGCGAAACTTTGAGACTGCCCAAACAAGAGCAAGGCACTCGCGCTCTGTAATGGAATAGTTGCGCTCAGCAGGTGTGAGGAGGCAGCTAGCGTAGGCGACAACTCGGTCGTGTCCCCCGTTGGTGTTGGGCTAGGACGCGCAGGTGTGAGGAGGCAGCTAGTGTAGGCGACAACTCGATCGTGTCCCCGTTGGTGTTGGGCTAGGACGGCTCCCATCCCGTGGCCACTAGCATTAATTCGGACTTCTGTCGGAGCGGATGGGTCAAAGTGAGCCAATA